AAAAACATCAAAAAGTCACATGCAGGGACTCGCAATTCTGCTATTTTAAATTATCATAGTTCTCAATCGGAAATCACTATGTAAGTAAAGAAGGGCGATGCAATATTAGCAGGGTTGCATTAACCATTTCCTTAACCCTTTTACAAAAGAGTCAAAAAAATTCCCACTTCACCACTTTGTATAGCATTTTGGATAGAGTTCTCCCTTAGTTTGCAAGGATACATTTAAAAAAAAAATGAATATCGATTTACGCGATTCGAAAACGAAACGTGAGTCATTTGATTAGAACGTGGAACACAGGCCAATGAATCATACTTTTATACAAGTCCAAGTAACCTGTTAATTTAAACTGATAAAGCATAACCCTGGGCATAACTTACTTTTGAAAGCAGTTGCTTCTTAACTGTGGTCGTTTGTATATCGTCATAAGTAAGTGTAAGTAGTGGTTTGGTGTTCTGATGCCGATTTTGGAAAATGAGGACGATGCGAAGGTCCCATACACTACAATAGAAAGGTATGGAAACTTTTGTTTTCGATATTGATAATTGCCATTTCAAAATAATATTGCATCTTGTACCGAATTACGTGTATGTTACAACAATTTGCGTCTAAGGCGGTTACTGCACTTTTATATAAAGGATAAAATGAAGTTTTCTCCAATTGTGCCAAAATTTCGATCAAAAGTACCAGTGCAATTAACAAACACATTCCATTTGTTCCTTTCGTCAACATTTCTCGGCAGAGTTCGTTCCTAAGGCATACGTATTAAAAATTCCGACGGATACGTTATTAATTATGAGAGTCTATCATCAAAATTTCGGATGTTCCCTTTGCTAATTTTTTTGGCAAAGTTCTGGCCACGAAAGGGCGCATAGGGGTGTGAAAAAAAATCTGATTTCGACAAAATTTGATAGCTGGGGGTTTTTGAACATGAAACACACGAATCTGAAATTTTTGAAAATTCGAAAACAATAATTCCACTGAAATTCTTGTCCTGATAATGAAAATGGGGAGAATTCCACGAAATTTGAAGTGTATAGGCACTAGATGACTAGATGAGTTAAGGAACAAAATTGGCGAAGAGTTTTTTTAAATTACAAGTTATACCCGTCTTTCGGGTCAGAAAGTATCCCTTGCCTACTAGTGAGTCGTCTAGTTTCGCATGTAGTTAGTTGAAAATGTCGCAAATAGCAACAAAATTAACGATTTAAGTCGATATTATGATTAAATATTATTTAAAAAATCGGTAGGTATGTCTATCGTGTTATGAAAATTCGATTCCAAGAATATGTGGCTTAAATTCTTTGTTATATGCAACATTTTCAACTAACTAAACATGCGACATTAGATGACTCACTAGTAGGCGGGGGATACTTTCTGACCCCAAGGACCAATTTTCAAATGGATACAACTTGTGATTTTAAAAAAAAGTGTTCGATAATTTTGTTCCTTAACTCATTAAGTATGTATACGCAATAAATTTCATTGAATTCTCTCCATTTTAGTTGTCTGGAGAAGAATTGCAGTAGAATTTTTTTTACAATTTTGGAAAACTAATTTCAGATTCGCGATTTTCATGTTAAAAATCCCCTAGATACTAAATTTCGTCGAAATCATTTTTTCCGCAACCCTGTTTAGAGGTGCGCCATTCGTGGTAGGAATTTTAAGAAAAAATTTGCTAAATCGGAAAGGGCATACCTCAAAACTTATTCAAAAACGTGCCATCAGCCTCTCTTATGATTGCCGAGAAAAAGAATTAAAGCAGAAATTTCACCACTTTTTTGAGGATGGCTCCCAAACGAAATGCATTAGACCCTCGGTTTATTGGGAAAAAGTGTTTGTTTGGATCCCTTCTGCTATCCAATTTTTCTTAATTTCTTATGTGTAACACCCTGTATATACTTGTAGTTTTTAAGCAAAAATGTATAACGCTTTTCGCGAACCTATGCAACTCCTTATGTACAGTCGTTTGCACTGAAGATGAGCTTCACGTCACTAGTTTGTGAACAAATATGACGCGAGTGCTTTATTCTTTATCACATGTCAACACATGAGCGAGAAAGAGATGGTAGCCATTTGAAATAGTTGTAAATTGGTTCACAAATAAGTGATGAACGGCGCACCAAGAAAATCCTAACAATAAATTAAAACTCTTATAAACCTAGAGGACTCTAATGCCTCCATCAAATTCCGTAAATTCCAATGAAATCACTACTCAAATTTTGAATAAAATCGGAAATAATCTTCGGATAAAAAGCAATTTGAAACATCTGACATAGAAAAATAAAACTCTACCTAGATTTAAAATTGACACAGATAATGAAAAATTATAAGAATTAATTCTAACACACCTTATGAAAAAAAAAAAGAATAAAATACAAGAAAATCGTGTAACAAAAATTTAACGCCTTTCCTCACTCATATTGTCTACTTTGGCTATAGTCTTGAATTCATCAGTTTTACAATTTTTTCTTTTTTTTTCACATTGTTCGGTTTAACTTTTTTACCATTTCCTCTTTCAGATGCTTGACTCTCCTTAGTGAACTTTTTCTGTAATTTGGTGCATGACCTTTTTCCTTACCGTTTTCAATCTCCTTTACTTCCATAATCTCTATCAATGGGAAGTTACTTGGGGATATCGGTATGTGCAGCTTTGGAGAATTGCTGGGAACGGGGAGCGTCTTGGAAAAAGAGGCACGTCAATTCCGGAGAACTGCTTGAAACAAGAGATGGATCAAATTCTGTAACATTTTCAAGTGTTCCTATAGGTCAATGTCTCTTTTAATGGAGTGTTGCAGCACCAAAGGGTCTATTTTTTATTCGATTCGAATCTTCGGTAGGTATATCCACTTCCTTTTTAACACATTTGCCATAGTGCGGAGCATTTTTGCCAAATGGCAAAAGGTAACTAGTTAATCATGGCAAAATACATTAGGAAAATATTTCGTAAAATTGTTTTGCAAGAACCCAAAACAGTCCTCCCTTTTTCTCTTAATGCCTTCAGTTCTTGAGGAATAGAAGAGTCTGAATATTGAAATAATTTTCGTAGTCACGTCATCTGCAATGAAACACTGGACTATTCTATCCTACCTAAGACATTATCTGTTTGACTATTTCTCTCCAATAGGTGGCCACTACTGGATTGTACACTTGCCGCCAAATAAACAAAATTGTAAAAAAATTATTTAAATTTTAAGACTCAAAAAGCTAAACGTCAATTGCCAAAAGGGTAAAGGAAAGAAAAAACATTGCTTTAAAATTTAAATAATAATGCAGTTCTGACTGTTGGCATTTTTATTACTTATGGCTTAGTAAAGTTGTGCATAAGATTCCAGAATATAAAATGATGGTTAACTGTAAAAATTTATTTTTGTATTATTTGTGCTTTTAATTTACAAATACACCAGGGTTTTAGACACGATTAATAATATACAAGGTGTAGCACCTAAGACCCCTCGGATCATAATTCCTTTACCATAAAAGATACCGATAAAAGTCCTAGAGTAAAACTGTACACATTTACCGTCGCCATATTTCTAAAATATTTTTGATTACCAGGGGGGGCGTGCTGTATTCCAGTGGCGGATCAAACTCGCATTTCTTGAAACACTTGGGTTTGCAAAATAAGTTTTTTTGGTGTTTCGGTTTGATTTTTCTCTGAAATTTTCTTATGGAATGAGTGGTTTTCTTGGTATCAGTGGAAAATTTGTAGTTTTAGCTATCCAGAGGTATAATTTGTTTAGGGGGGTGCCATTTGAGATTTTAAAAAAATATGACATTTGACGAAGGTCAATCAAAATTTTAATTTCTTTTGATAAAGTACTTTAAAAAAATTTTGACGAAAAAAGGTTCAGCCACCTGAAATGGTCTTCTTACATTTCATTACAGTAATATAATCAAATTAAGTGAAAGAATGCAGTGGAATAGAAACACAGCATCATTTTCAGTTATATTAGAGAGTATACAGGGGTGTCTGGAACACTGAATATATTTTCAAAATAACATTTTTTGAAATAAGCTTTTTATGGTATCCAAAATTATAAATACCAATCTATACGTACTTTGAATTTGTGATCAGTAGATTAGTAGCAATATTTTTATAGGTAATTTGAAGATATATTCAGTGTTTCAGAGAAAATTTTCACCCTGTACACCTAAGTTTACTGCTATTGGTGCAGAGTCTAACATACAATGCATATTAGATGAACAACGATATTGAAACTATAAAAAAATCGTGAAGTTTTTGAACGTTGGTTTTTAGGACACATTTCTACGTAAAAATTAACCCCTCATCACAAGATAATTTTTATTTGGTGGGTTGTTATGGGGATGGGGTGGTTGGCAAGGAGTTGATTTTTACGCAGAAATGTGTGCTCCTGAAAACCAAAGCTGACGTATTACGATTTACCATAGAACTTAATCATAAAAGCAACAGAATCCATACAAATTTAAGCGATTTCAAACGCTCTAAAAGCTCACAAAGCTCTTCAAAAACCCGTAAAAGGCCCATGAAGGCTTTTGGAAATTCTTGAATATACTTGAAAACCTGACCCATTAACTGAAGAATTAAAGATTCAAAGAAATGTTAATTTATAACAAATTCAATCAATGAATTACTTTACGTCGCCATTGTGGAAGTTTTCCAATTCTACCTTTACCGTCACCGGGAAAGGTATAACAAATGATATATTAGTATAAATTTATAATCGACAAAGACGCGAATGGGAAAATTAATGGTTCACATTTGTATGTTTCGGGGCCAATAAATCTGTCTGCGAAGAAAAAATGGAATTGAATACGCTTTTAAACCCGCCAGCAAATATATTAGGTTTAGAATATCTCGAAAAGTGATGATCGTATTAAAAAGAAATTTTGAAAGAACCGAAAAGTTTAAAATGAATGCCGAATGCGTTAAGATTTTGACGCTTATAGCTAAAAGGGATCCGAGAAAGCTAATTTATTTTATTTGGATGTATAGTACTGTGCCTTGAAGTCTTCCATTACTTTACATCTGACATTTTAATACTCAATCCTGGCGAATTTATAAACCCGCAAAAATCGTTCTTATTTACCACGAATTCAGTTAATTACACGAGAACTTACCCTCGAAGTCTACATTGCGAAGATATTTTAGCAGTTCCGTTCCTTTCGTAGGCCTCATCGCGTCGCATAATCCGGGACGACCATGGCACGAATGATTATGCATTGCCCTGTAAGAAGAAGAAAAGGTTTAGTTTCTGTGATCGGTTTTGATTTCATTTAATTGTAGTCGATTTTTGCTTTGACTCGTAAGTGATAGGTAGATAGCCTTAAAAGACGAAAAGTTATAATTAACTTATAACAAAGAGAGCCTTTCACTTTGAGTGAGTCTTCATTTAATTGAGTTAAACAGAAATAGTAAACTTAAACGGCAAATTGAATTAATTTGATTTGTAGATATTTCCCTACAGGAAAGAAAGTAGCCATAATTATTAATACACAAACTTTAATTAATTGAAGGGATTAACTGTGTGTGCAGTTTGATAAAGAAGTCAATGCAAAAAGGGGCTTTACCCTGGTTACAACCCTTTGAATTTTCTTTCGAAATTGGTTTTTAGTCCATAACTTTTGATTGAGAAGTCTAATCGAAAAAGTACGAATCGTTTTGGATTCTACGCCCCAAAATTAATAAGAAAAAGTGTTTTTCCGAGAAATTTTGGTGTAGTCGATTTTTGGTAAAAAAGGAAGGTTGTACACTGCCTTTTTTTGAGGCCCCAAAGAAAAATTGTCTCAGATTGACCGCAAAAAACATTTTCTTGTAGAATAGGGCCTGTGAATTCCATAATTTCAAACAGTTCCAAGATTGAGCTACTAGATCAAAAGTTACAGCCCTGGGCTTTACTGATGTCCACAATTCATGGAAATGCTAAAAGATAGTTTTCATGACAGCTTTACAAATAGACAAGCTGGTAGTAGTTATTCTAAAATTCACAATACAAAAGAAAGTGTCTGTACTTCCACCCCAATACTATATAAGCTTCATGAAATATTGCTGTTATGAAGTTGCAAAAAAATAAATCGATTTTCCTGCTCGCTCCCGAGACTCGGCTTCATTCCGCGTTTATTTAGTTCCCCATACAATTCAATTTCGGAAATACGCTGCAGAAAAATGATTTTCCTCGAAATTTTGCATGTAAATCGCGAACGTAACCAAGCAACAGGTTGTAAACACGTTTTACGTACGAACTCACCTTATTGCATATGCAAACGCCATGACCGCATCGGAGACGAATTGCAGTTGATTTTCGAAGACGGTATTTTGGCGGGTCAGTTTTTCCTTTCCGGTACATACTCGAGTGTATTTTTGGTTGTAGGGTGTCCTTGAGCTGTTGGGATAACGGCACTGGAAGTGGTCCTCCCAGAATTCTGCAAAGAAGGAGTTTATAACGCTTCCTATATTTATTAAAAGCATAAAGTTTATGGCCCTTTAGAAGTTCTTATAGATTTCAAAGAGTGTTCACCATCTTTTCAGATATTTTTCATCTTCTAATTTTACAAGAACTTCCCCAGAAAGTCTCTCATGCTACAAAATTTTGAAAAATGCATAAAACTTTTATAGGGATACTAAAAGAATCTCTCAATCACTTAAAAAACCAAACTACCCAAATTACTAATTAATGTGTCTGAAACCACACTGCGTCTTTTGTATTTAAAACAAAGTCCCACTTAAATATCTTAAAACTTTAACAAACAATAAACACTGATGCATAGAAGCGAACTAACTAAGAATATTCCCAATTTAATCCAACATCTCTACCTCATAATACAATTTTTTTAACGATTAAAATTACCACGTTATCCCAAACAATTTCCTTTATCTTTCCCAAATAAACCAAAAGCTCAATCAATCATATCGAAACTGTCACATATGCTTTAATGAGCACCTTGATAAAAGAAAGTTGCTGTTTCCGTATTTTTTAGTTTCGCTCTTGTGCGATGTATTCAACTGAAGAAAAGGTTGATATTGAAAATTGCTGTAGTGCCGGTAACAGTTTAAGGAGCGTAAGAGATTTATTTTGTGTAAGCCAAAGTAATTAATATGACAGCCAGATCCTTATTTGTTTTAAGAAGTGACTTTGGTTGCATAAAATTAGGCGCCCTTCAGAAGCGATTTTGTCATTTAAAAGTAGACATAGAGAAAAACAATACACGTAAATCCATCTCTACTTGTAAATAAAAATCACTGTATATTCTTAAAGAAATAATCCAAAGAAGTTCATCGTTCAATTTGCACCAAACGGCACTCGGTAGACCGTCTTGGGTTTTTGGTGGATTTATCCGCCATTTGTAACCAATCCTTTTCCCTCATTTTCTTGAAAAGCTGATAGTAGAATCAAGACATTAACTCAAGTGTCATCAAAGAGAACAGTTAGATCTAATTTTGTATTTTTCCTCGCCTAAAGGATAATAGGAAATCAAATAAGAATGAAATCTACTCGTTTCCCAAGGCAGTTTTCCACAGTTTTTTCTCAATTAATTCGACCGTTGGGGGCTTAACATATAGAACCAATTTATTATCTAAATGGTAATTACAACCCAATTCCCCGTCGAACCAGCATACTCCCCTATTAAAATAAACACGAAATGGGATTTAGGGCCATTAACACGTTATATCGTAAAAGTTACGGCGCCACATGTTATTCCTATAAGGCGACCGTGTCGTTACATCAATCCAAAAATTTATATTCGTATAACGTTTGGTAAATACAAACGTTTGCTGCCTTAATAAAAGTTTCGTATTAACATATGAAGCGATTGTTTCCGTGGAAAGTGCAATAAAAGGAAACCGTTGGAGGGATTACTCGCAAATAAACTTTAAGGTTAAGTAGGAACTCGAACTAAATCCGGAAGTTGGACACAAACTTGGCGAGGGATTGTGTGTAGGTACCGTTTCCTTGTAGTGTGTTACAAGTCAACATTGTAAGTCCGGATCAGTTTTATTATCCCCTTTAATTTTTTTCTTCTACAAGGTATTTTCTTTACTACATTACTTCAGGGTTAATGTATAATATTTGATTATCCTTCTAGAACAACTTTTGAGTTACTCATAAATAAACGGAAATATTTTAATACTGGCCAATTTTGCATCTAAATGTTTGTTAAAACTTAGTTTGCGATTCGGATTCACAAGTGTTACAGTCGATTAAATGATTTTGTTTAAAAAAAGAGGGTCAAAAGCAAAAGTGTAATGAAAATATTATAAGCTAAACTACAACGATCTTACACAACCATTGCACAACATTTTGACGTTTTACTACTGAAATTGGTTCCTAATTAGTAGGTTGGCTCAAGCAGTTTCTGACAGGTATAGCCCTAAGTTATTAAATGCAAAAGGACGAAATGCCTAAACGCTTACGGTTGAGGACCGTAGAAGATACGAAATGATTTCCTAAATTGAGAGGAGTATTTCGTGTTAGTTCGAGGTTTATTAATTGTTCAACTTATGGCCATTTCAATTCCTTTTTACCCCTATTAACTAACTATCAGAAAAGTTCTACTGCCACATCAAAAACCGATTTTAAATTGGCTAAAATTCCAACCGTCGCGAAACTCGTAGCTTCGTTTTCTTTTTGTTTGTCTACAGTATTTAAGGGAACACAACTACCACCATAAAATAAATTGCCTCTTTAAGAATTTTCAAATAAATCACCAATCACGACAGAACGCATTGAATTAATGGAAATCTATTCCTTAATTAATTTATTTATTAATTATGTGACCTGGCCGAGCCCAGATGCAAACATGGGATTATTTTGGTCGTAACCGAGCATGTAACTCATTCGATAAAATCCGCTGGCAGACCAAACTACATTCTCCCTAGAGAATATTTGTAATTACCGTGTGCAATTTACGAAAATCTTGAACGCGTTTCGGAAAAAAAGTGTCATTTACATCGGATGCATTCGGATGGAGAAAAACATGACCTCAATTTTTACAGTTAGGTGAGTAGTTACCAAAATGAATCGAATGAGCACGATGTATTCAAAGAAGTTTAATGGGTAGTTGGTCTGATAGTAAAAAAAGTCCTAGAAAAAGTACATTAACGATATCATGATTTATAGCACAGTCATGCAGCACAACAATGTCCTATAAAATGGCTGAAACTTCATTTCCATTCATTATCGAAATTCCTACATCAGAGGTTCTGCTTTGTGAACCCTTAATAGGGATTTATCACTATAACGGTAGAGTAACTACAGATTTAAACTTATTACATTTGCCACCCCGTGTGATTGTTAATTCCTGATATCCTGTGGGTCAAAAATTAAATTGAAATTTTCAACTTTGTCAATTAATTCTTTTTATATATTATTTGTCAACCCTAAACCATTTAAGCGCTTAGTAATCGTATAACTTGATATATGTAAGTGAATAGGAGTACCCAACTGATATCTTAAAAATGCGCCTTGAAAAGCCTTTAATCTTGTAATAGGAAATTACATGAAATTGAACCCAAATTTTCCGCAAGTTTTCCAGTCGATTTTAAGGGTGGAAAAAAGGTGGCCACGCAATTAAAGTAAGCCGTGTAATTTACCGCCTCCATGATATATCGCTTCGGATAAAATTGCGAATCTTTTTATTAACTTTTTTAGACAAAGCCATCAATCACCTTCTCACTTTTGTTAAGAGGAAAAAACATCCGGTGGAATATCAATTGTTACACGATTAATAAGTTCAATTTTCTCTCAATACTTGTTGAATTCGCACCAAAGTAAAGAGATTGCTTTGTCTGATGAAATAATTTAATTTCCACGGAGTGAGGGTCGGAATAGGGATTGTTTGTAATAAAAGAATTCTTCGCAGCTCTTTGTTGGATTCGTTTTTAATTTGGCTTTTTATGGTGATTTTAATATCCGCTCTTGAATTTATTACCCTAGCAATTTCCAACTTTGGCGAGAAAGCTAAACGCTTGTATGTTGTCCTGCATCTTTCCCATTTTTCTGCTCTTGGCCACAGGGTTTGTTTCACCGCAAGCTTTTTTTTATTTCAAGCAAGTATTACATAAATGTCACTGTAATCAATCTTGAAGACCGATCAGGGTAACACGAGTTTACGTCCTTTCACAAATTCATTCGGGCAAATAAAAGTTTCGGAAAAACGATATCGCTTGCTCGCCTCTTCTCCACTATACGTTTTATTGCAAACGTGCAGAGCTTAAAAACCTGGCGAATTTTAAAAATGTAATTAAATGTCATTGTTTCATGCGAATGTCTCAACAAATCTCACTTTCACTATACCAGATTGGCGGTTTCGAAAGCCACCTGAGCACCAATTTGATGAAATTGCTTCAGGCGACGATTCAGATTTAGTTACAATTTAATTTCGATGTATTTCAATTTTCCTTTTAAATTAAATTAAATTCCCATAACTTCATTTAATGGTAACTAAGCATCGTCGGTGCCATCATTTCCAAAATGAAAACGTTCTATATCCAAGAATCTATTCCAGTTTGAACTTAAAATGACCTTTTTAACGATTACATGGGGTGGTTAATGTAATAAATTTAAATCTGGGCGTTACAGCAATAAATCCCTATTAAGGGTACACAAAATCAGGCCCTCTGAGGCTCTGATGTATAAATTTCGTAAGTGCAGTTTTGGTCATTTTAACATGGCATCATCATACGCCAATTTCATAGCTTTCTATGATCTTGATAAAACTTGTTAGCGTATTTTCAGAGCTTTTCCAAGGTTTCCCAGGGCTTTTATACCAAGCTTTTAAATTTCTTCAAAAAAACAATTGGAAGCACTCAAAGTCTCCCTATTATTTACTATACTTACTTTTGTTACGTATTCCCAAAGCCTCCTAATATCCTCAAAGAGCTGTTTACTCTCACTATACCTTTTCAAGTAGAATTTGGGACAAAACAAAACCAATTCGAGATTTAGAAATTTCAAAATGGAATTATCAATTATAATTAAAATTTTATAATTGAATTTCTATAAAAGGAGCCTTCTCGAGAGGCTAACCTAAACGAGCTTGAATACACTCCGGATAAAATTGAATTTACCATGGCGGGAGTTCGTTTTTTCTTACGTAAAATGCGGGGAACGTTCACCTCCTAAGTCGTGTTTTGAAGAGTATCACTCGATTTCCAAAAACTCAAAGTAATTACTTCATGCGCCTACGCAGTACTCATTTCTTTAAATACAAATTTGCCAAGTACTTGAATCAGAGAGTGAGACCCTGTGAAGCAAAGGGAAGCACACTTTGAAGTAAATTGCGGAAATGAAAATGACAAATAAAATTTTGGGTCACTCCCAACTTGAATTTGCCTCTAATCAGTATAAAAAAACTCAAAATAACTATTTCATGTGACTACGCAGTACTAATTAACGTCAGTGCAAAATTATCAAGTACTTGAATCAGAGAGTGAGGATCTAATGCAAAGAGAAGCTCTCTTAATAGTACATTGCAAAAATAAAAATGAAAAGTCAAATTTTGGGTCACTCTCAACTTGAATTTGCACCTGCTCAGTATAAAAAAACTCAAAATAATTATTTCATATGCCTCCGCAGTACCAATTACTCTCAATAACGGGCGATCAAAAATGAGTTGCTGTCGAGTCGCCTTTGGAAGTCGAATTAGGTACGATTTCCCATATAAACAAAAATTCCAAAGGTGACTCGACAGCAACACTTTGAAAAACAGAATTTTGGGTCACTCGCAACTTGAATTTGCATCTGATCAGTATTCAAAAACTCAAAATTATTATTTTATGTGCCTATGCAGTACTAATTACTCTCAACACAAAATTATAAAGTACCTGAATCAAAGGGTGAGGTTCTAAAGCAAAAGGAAGGTGACTTTGTGGTAAATTGCAGATATAAAAAATAAAATTTTTGGTTTTCTCAACTTGAATTTATATCTGATCAGACCCTTATGCGGCTCTCGAACAGTGTTAGAATGCACTTGGAATTCTCAGAAAGCCATTTCAAAGAATTTATAGAACCGATACGATCTGGAAGTATCTTAAAAAATTATCAGTGTTCTAAAAATTTCAAAAATCTCCTCAACGCGTGTACTGGTACATTTCAGAGCAATCCAATCCTTTTGAGAGTTTTTTAGATGGCTTATCGAGCTTTATAATACCGGGTGATTCATTAGAAGTGATGAACAAAACAAGAGAGGGATAAAATTAAAATTAAATTAAATTAATTAATTAGAAGTGACGAACGCTTGAATTTCGCGCGTAAGGTTTTAGTATTTTTTGCATTATTAGATTGACGGTTTGAATTTCGTTAGTAATTTTTATCTGTCATGACTGTCATTTAAGAAACCAGTGTCGCCGTTAATTGTTGTGTGCCATTTGCGGTTTATTACTTTCTCCATTTTGAACAATTTTTAGAGTTGAGGCACTAAAATATGTAAGAAACGTGACTGTGTCTAGTGTTAGTTTATGATTTGTGGTAAAACAGAAGCAGTATTTGTAGATTATAAATAAGTAAACGATTTCCTGAGAGCATGACGATACACCACTGCAATTAAATAAATGATCATCAGTTAGTACCAACTTCATAATTTTTTTGATTTGCGGGAAATTCAAATTGTCCTCACTTCTAATGAATCACCCGGTACTATTACAGAGCTTTCCACTCCAAAACCATTTGGTTGTGTCTTAGGTTTCTCAACTCTTTCCAGAACACTCCAGGATCTTGACAAAGATTGACAGACCTTTTCAAGCACCTTTTACAGAACTTATCAGGTCCGCCTAGCTCTGGGAACCGCATAGAAAAAGAGCACCTAAGAGGTTCTGGAAAAGCTTCTAATATGACAATTTCTCAAAGGCTTCTAGAACGACCAGAGAGAGAGAGAAGTTTCTTAGTTTTTTTATTACCTCTATTGATATACTTCCCATTTTAATCTATATCAAACTATTTTAGGCTCGCTCAGCGGTTTTTAGATTTTTTGTGCTTTCTAGGAGCAACCAGCTCGAAAAGTATTCAGAAAACTCTCTAAAAAATTATAATGTCATCGGGGAATCTCTGTAAAGCCTTTAAAAGGTTTTGAGAAGCGTTAGAAAGCTCTAGAAAGCATTTTAAACCCTTTCAAATTGTGTGTTCGAAGGGTTTCGGACGTTTCCAATGCTCAGTAGTGTTTCTGCAGACCTCCATCTCTCTGCAGGGCTCTGTACAGCGCTTATTTGACCTTTTCCAAGGATCCTCACCCTTTGCAGCTCTTTCTGTTACCTTCTTCATAGTTTCCCAAGCCCTTCTACATTTTATAAATAGAATAGAAAACTGTAAAAAAGAGGAGGGCCGCTCTGGGAACGGCCCAGAAAGTCACATGGCGCACAAAAGCTTCATATCCTTTATAGTTTTGTGCCACCTTTACATGTACAGCTACAGCCTACCATCCCAAAATTTGGTACACATGCTCTTTACGGATATTTAGGATTATTTTATTCCATTAATTTTTTTGCTCTATTGAGTTATTCAGATGCTCAATATTCTTAAGATTCGGCTTTTGGTGGTACGAATTCCTCACTTTTTTTAAAGTAAATCCTGTGGGTTTTTACGAACAAAGCGTGATCGTTCCGTTTGAATTTTTATTTCAGTATTTGCTTTTCCTTTTAGTGTAGATGCGTAGTTTTCGTTTTATTGGTTTTGTAAATTTTTCAATTTAGACTAGGTGCTAGGTGCTACACATGTACATATATAAAAGGATATATCTGGTCGTTTGCGATACGAAGAATTATTGTTAGGCGAAATTTCGTTAATGCACATGTGATTCTGATAAGAGGTTGCACGAAGCGGAAGATGTGCGTTTTTCTTGGCGTAGGTGGGGCGCGAGACGGGTTCTTTCGAAGCTGGCGTTATTGAGGTCTAATTGCGATTGGCGATTTATGTGAAAATTCATAAAGAAGGAGATTTTTTTATGGTGGAAGTGGTGGATTCTTTACATACGGGAAACCAACTGATTTCTGATCCTTCAGTTTTTTCAGGTTCTTTGTACTTTTCTGTTTCATTGCTCTTTATAGGTTCTGTCATTTTTTTAATACGTCCTCAGAGTACAAATTCTCAGCATTCTTCTAAATCTACCACTTTTTAGGAAAACTAGTGGAGCAATGATCCATCAGAAAATTGATTAAATATGTCAACACATTCAATCGTAATTAAATAATTTGTGCTGTAATTGCGATTTTGACAAGTGCGATATAAATAGACAAGTAAATGAAGGGGTCGTTTCTGCGATATGAAAATGCAACAATTTTTGTAAATAAAATGATTATGAAAAAGAGACCTCCATATTTTCTCATTTAGCTTTTAGTATTACAACCGCAACATTTTAACGCTGCAGGGAGTTTCTACAAGCCGAATACTTCGACCAACTTTGCGGAAACATTTTGATTAAAAAAATCCAAATTTGTTTCTCGCATACTTCTGTTGCAGTCGGCGCTTTATTGCTAGCATAACTTCTTGCGGGTTAATGTAAGACGAATTTTAGTATTTAGTTTTCTGATAGTGTAGTGGATGATTGTATGACAATACCGAAAGAACTCTGAACTTTAAGTCTTTTAAGGTGACTGGAAACGACTAGGGTATTTTTAATGGCTGAAATATGCCTCGTATTTGTTTGACGCCCAGTAGTAATTGGACAACACTTACCCTTCCAGCGTCTTAAGGTACTCGTTTTGTGGGAGTTCTCTGCAATTATTTATAGCATTATGCTAAATAAATCCTTTTTTAAACCCACGATATTAATTTCCAACTACGTTTTCTTTACTACTGCAAGAGTTTAGAATCTACTGGACGCCTCTAAGCAAAATCCTATAATAAATAAGAGATAAATCGTAAAGTTTTGCATGAAGCTATCGCAAGGGATATTATTGGTGTATATAAACCGAAATACGGGCGACATAAGAAGGGAAAATTTATAGCGAAAATAAACTTTTTACCACGCATAAACGTATGAGCGAACGGCTCTATTACTAAACCGAGGCTAATAAATCAAGCGCAAGAAAAACTTACCAACGAACCACGGATTCCTTTGATTATTCTCTACATTAAGGCCCAGGAAGTACTCCTCGAAACCTCGTACAGGATTAGCTTGAGGCTGTACAGATAATGTACCCTCCACTTCGGCCTCATTTCCGTCAGACACAAGGGATCTCGCGCTCCAGCCATCCGAGCCTATCCATGAAAAACTACCCGTCGCATTACTTCGTTTAACAGCTCGCATCACTCCAGCCACTTCCTGGTCGGAACCGAAAATAATTGTTCCTGCAACAAGGAGATCTCATAATTGAAAGAATGGCGAATTTATTAACGCTGCAAATTACTGTACTTTAAATTTCACGCTAAGTTAAAAAATAATTAATAAGAAAGAGCGGTTTTGTATTCCATTTTTTAATAACTCTTGCGGGAGTTTCGTTGCAAGAATTAAGCTAAAATCGAGGCTAAAATACGTTTTGAACACAAAGTCTATTTAAGAAGTTTGTGTATCGAAACACTAATTTGCTCTAAAAAGAACTACCATTTTAAACTTAAAACTCGATCACGAGCACCAAACGCGTTTTACATAATTATTATAACAATTTGAAAAATTAACTGAATAAATTATCTACCGCATATACGTATGGACAATCCGAATTTTATTGCAAAGCAATGGTTGTCAAGTCACTTCATTAACTGGGAAACGTATATAAGTAACAACATTAAATTGTGGGGTGCTTATTCAATGGTATACAGAGTTTACAGCGTAAGATACAATAAATCAAAAGCAGTCGGATGGATACAAGAAGAGATTGTAGTGTTAAAATCAGAGGTAGATTGTTAACGGACTAGTCTAAGACCGCACTTTAGCCTTAGCCTAACTTAGATTAGAACCCAAAAAAACCTCATCTGTAAAGCACAAAAAGGTGAACTTCTAAAGTGCCTCAAAAATCATAGTACTTTTGTAACGAAAAAAGTTTAACAATTATCTAAAAAATAACTTCTCCGTTATGCGTTTCAGTAACAAAGTAAACAGAGTCGTCCCCTAGGTCGACAAATTCCTCAGTCCCGCAAATCCCGCGGATCCCGCTCCATTTTTATGCGGGATTAATCCCGCAAAAACGCTGCGGGATCCCCGTATTTCGGGATCCCGCGATCCCGGTATTGCATCCCCGAATTCGCATCGAACTTCCATAAAATACATTGGTCCTCCCGAGCTCATCTTGTTTTGGTCCTGCTCTTCTTCATGCTTCCCGCACTTCTTCTTTTCTGGTAATTTCTTTTTTAGAAAAATAAACGACAATTTAGTTCCTTATCATTCATCTACCTCCTTATTATCATTATATTAAAACACATTGGGGATTAGCGTGCTAGCTTATACCATAGTATTGTGTTATATTATGCTTATACTTTGGACAGTAATTGACGATTTTCTTTGTTTCAGGTGATCGATGAGCGCCAGCTTAGGGTGAGTGTTTTATCACAATTTTCATTCTGCATGGTATCAGGGATAGAGGCACCTCAATAGCATTATGCGGGTCACTTTCTGTAATGGGCGCATGCCTGTTAAGGGCCCAAAACCAAGAGAGGGATAAAAAAATTTAAAAAAATTAAAAATTAAAAATCAGTACTGAAGAAGCTATTAGTGTATGAAGAGAAAAGCAACGAAGCTTTCTGAGTAGTCACGATACTTTTTGCCCTAGGTATATGAATAAGTTTTCAGACCTATTCAGATCTGACACAGCCCTTACGGAAGGTGTTTAGCATAATCGGTCTTCCCCATACGAATAGCGTAGCTATGATTCATAGTTAACCCCATTTTGAAACAAAATATGCATTCATTTGGTAAGAGGTGTTGCTAGAGTATATTTTGCAAGAGGTAATGCCAGGTTCAACACAAGCAGGTTTCTTGACTGAACATATTTAGTATACAGGTCTATTCGAAAACGTTATTGACCGTATTTTGTTTAATATGTTTTCCTTAATTCTTAAAGACAGCTTCCTAGCTCAAACCAATAATTCGCGTTTTTGGAAGAGTGTTTTAAGGAATGGTAAGTGTAGGGAAAACGTTTTCTCACGAAAGTTTACTATTTTCGATGTTAGATTAACTAACTCAATAAAAGTATTAGGTTCTACTTGAAAACATAATTGCCGCTATACTGACTCTTAAGAGACAGTTTATGTGAATTCACAGTATCATAAAATGGGACCCTCCATATGGAGATTATTTTAATAAATAATTTTTTGATATTAATAATAATTAATAATAATAAAATAATAAAATAATAACTTTATTGTCTGTGATCACGCATAACCTTGACATAGACATCGTCATACATTCAAACATTTATGGACATTTAAAATTTTAAAAAGTCAATTAGGAACAGTGTAAATGCTAAAGGACATGTTACAATTAAAAATCACTCATTGAATAAAAACAACGTTCGACTAAGTATTTTTTTAGATTCGTTCGATACTTCTTAATGTTTGTGATGTTTTTAATATATAAAGGGAGTGCATTGTACATTTTAACTGCATTGTAATATGGACCCCTTTCATACTTCGCTGTGGAATGGTAGGGTATGGTAAGTATCTCATTGTTGCGTGTATGATAGTCATGCTTAGCATTTAATGGATGAAAAATATGACTATTCATTTTCACGAAGATGCAAAGCTTATATATGTAAATGCTAGGAAATGATAAAATTTTCCTATTGATGAAAACATTCCTAAGAGAAATTGTCGGTTTTACATTAAAAATTAATCGCATTATCCTTTTTTGTAGGATGAAGACTCTGTTTTTGTCGACAGCTGCCCCCCAGGCAACAACGTTGTATGCTAAATGAGGATATGCGAGCGCGTAATACACAGTAACTAATGAATTTATGTCAAGACATGATTTCAAGTTTCGTAACACATAATAAGCCCTGTTAAGTTTTTTACACACATTCTTAATATGTTGGTCCCATGACAAATCGTCATCTATCAAAATCCCTAAAAACTTAGTATTTAGACTAACACTTGAAGTTTCGAGCTCTTGCTTAGCCCTACCAAAGTTCACACACACAGTTTTATTTGCATTTAATACAAGTTTGTTAGCACTACACCAGGAATGAAATTCCTCGTCCACATGTTTAATAGTACTTGTTAAACACTCTAGGGTCTTCGCTGATATAGCGATGGTTGTGTCGTCGGCATAGCTGATCACCTTCGCACTTGTCACATGATTTGGCAAATCTGCTACATACAATAAATATAATAGCGGGCCCAACACTGAACCCTGAGCGACCCCTAAGGTAACATCAAATTTGTCGGATTTAACACCTTCGATGTCCACATATAGTTGCCTATTTGAAAGGAACGATTTTATCCACATCAACATTGGACCTCTAATCCCTAATTTCTGAAGTTTATAGCAGATATTCTCGCAATTAATCGTATCGAAAGCTCGACTGATATCAAAAAATAGGACAGAGATATACTTTTTCTTGTCGAGTTCTTCATAGATGAAAGTAAGTAGATCGAAGGTAGCGCTTTCTGTAGATTTCCCAGGTCGGAAACCATGCTGGCTGGCCGGTAAGATGCTAAATTTGTTGACGAATGAGATTAATCGGTTATAAACGATTTTTTCCAACAATTTCGAAAAGACGCTTGAATTAGTTTTGAAAATACAGCTATTACTTCAAGGCTCATAAAAAAAACACTTAAGCGTTCTTAACGGTTATAAAAACCATTAAAGTTTCTCTAAAACCTAGAAAGAACCTGAAAAGCTCTTTTAGAGACCCTTTGAGGATCCTTAAATACACACTTAATATACGTTTTTAAAGACACACGAACCCCTAAAGGTACATAAAGGCACCAATACCCTCAGGACACTAAATATGAACTAAAAATCCTAAAAGTCTTCTCGTGGATTTGTAAACTCGAGACTTACACATATTGATGAGAGGGTTGTAACTCTTGCAGTACAATACCTAGCTACATGGATTATCTTTGCTTCCTTGAGTGATTGTGTAACTGAGCAACCGTTCACTGCTCATATACAGATCGCCCATAACTCGCGGTTTTAAAATTATGAAATTATAAAGGAGACTTTGCATTAAGTACAGCCATTGAAAGTAGTGAAATTTGATGTAGAAAGACCTTTTTTGAGTATTAGGTAAGTAGTATACAAAAAATATTTCTACCCCACTGTACATTCTATAATGATAAAGGTGCGGTGTCGCGGAAACATACCGTGATAAAAAAGGTATTAGAGTGTATGATTTTGATTGTAGGATGATTCTCCCTCGAAAATTCGCCCCCCAGAAAATTCGCCCCGGAAAAGTCGCCCCCAAGAAAAGTCGCCCCCAAGTAAATTCGCCCCTGGAAGATTCACCTCCGGCAATTTCGACCCCGAAGATTTATTAACCCTCGTAAGTAACAGGGACAGCAGTTCACAAAATGAATGTTTGCTGGTAAGTTTTCTATTATTTTTTTATTAGGTTGTTATTTTGTGCAAGATTTTCCAAGTTTTTAAATACGTATAGGTATTACCTACAATTCTAATAGACGAAGAGTTTATTTCCCTAATGAAAATAAACTCTTCAGGGTGGTATTTGGTAGAAAACAGTTCCTTTTGTTGAGACCCGGGGCATAATGGAGGTTGTTCGGGACAAGCCGTACATCTGAAACTCGTTTCCTTTCTAATGTATCCCTTGGAAAATTGTACACGCTCCTCTTATAGTTTTCTTCAAAATATATTCGTACATTACGTCTCCTTAGAAAGAATTATACAATTAGGTACCTGGACGAGGAATGCGTTCTTGAAAGTGCTATGGAGGCTGAGGGGAAGTCACCTGTTCTTGTAAACCTTTGCGGATTCGAGTAGATGGGTGAAAATTTGATCAAATGTCGGCAGTCTTTTGTATTCGGATCTACCCCAAAAGATGTTCTATCAAATTCTTCAAATTTTTTCCAAAAGAAAAAGTTGCACTTTAGTCCTTTAAATGGACGACAAAACGTTGATTTAACACAAGGAGTAGTTGTTTGTAAGCGGAAGACATGTACTTATGTATGTACTAATAGATAAATCAAAGGAAAGATAGAAATGCGTTTGTGGTCGTTACTCAATACAAACAAGCGTCTTTCTACAAACATTAAAAATTAAAAAGTAGCATAAGACATGGACAGATGAAGGGTGGAAATATGTTGTTTTACAGCAACAATTTTTGTAAGAAAATTTGTACAAATTTCGTACCAATGCGAACCGTTTAGAAATAGTTTGATAAATGAACGGATAAAATGGTCACCATTGCTGCATTTCCCATTTATGAAAATATTTTCGAGTGCAACTGTACTCAAAACGCTTAGTCAATAAAATATGTTTTCTAAATTTGTGAATAAATTTCACTGGCCAGCAATGATTAGAAATATCAGTACCATATCGGCGCGAAACTGACCTCTACGAAAGAAGCTCGTTAAGGCACATGTTCTCTGTCTCACCTGTTATCTGTATACCTCAAAATTCCCAATAACAATAACCAGTATCGTATGAGAATTTGAATAGTGCGGTAGTGTAGTGTAGTGTAAGTACGTATCTTCTTCCAATGGTAGAGTTTTTCTCGTGGATAATCTGAACCAAGGAGGCTAAGGGGTGAGTGTTTTGACTTGTTTATTTAGGGGCGTAAGGTAAAAAGCAAGATAATGAACATGTACCTACTACATAAAACCACGCTTACTTGTACCAAAAAATATGCAATTGAAAATTGAGAAATGCCTTTGCAAACTCCGTTTTAGGTGGTGTGGGTTTTTTAATCAAGAGTTTTGGTACATGATTCCTGGGTATACTTTCTGCCTATTATTACAAGAACATTTATTTAATTAGAACATAATTGGAAACTTCATTGGTTACCTGCAACACATGTTCAAAGATAACGCGCCACGTCATTAACGCACCTGCGGCCGTTGCTAAGTTAAATTCAAAAACTCTGCTTCAAAATGATTGTGTATAGGTATTTTCTAACATGTAAAGATTTAATTTATTGGACTGCTTTGTTGTGAACAATGTCAAATTAATTTAATTAACTCACTTTTGTACAATCAAACGGTTCAAAGGACTCAGAAACTGCGGCGAATATAAGCAAAAAATATAATTGCGTATAAAAGAGGCTTCTTTTTTTAGCCAATGGTTTGCAATTAAATCAACATTTTACCTTGTAGGCCTTTTATTTAAAAGTCGAAAGGTCATCAAAAAGTAGGATTTGGCGTAAAATAATCATCTTGCAAAGCAGCAGTAAAGTTTTTCAACCCATCATTCCCAATAGGTACATCCCTTTAGCAAATTCCTTACTGGAGGGTGCAATTAAAATGAAATGTAAAAAGACACAGTTTGTGGTTAGCATTTAGACAATTTTTCCATTTATCCATCCTTCTATCAATGTGTCTTGAACTAATTCTTCACTGGAGGGTACAATTAAATTGAAATATTATAAACATATTCCAAGGGCCGCGCCCTTAAAGCTAACTGCGAATGTACAAAAAAAATTTCCACGCGTTCGTCTTCTAATACTTTACTGGAGGGTGCAAATAAAATAAAATTTTGCAAAATGACACTTTTTGTGTATTTACTTAGTACTTAGTATGTACTTAACGTATAAAAATTTTTGGGTCATCGGTTCTTCTATCAATACATGCCTCCAGCTAATTCTGCTATATGTGGAGGGTATAATTAGAATTTAATTTTCTAAAAAAAACACTTTCTGTATATTAAACAGCCAAAAAGTTTGTGAATCCTTTTATAAAAATACGCTTTTCCCTAATTTTTTGCCGGAAGGTGCAATTAAAATGAAATTTTGTAAAACGACACATTTTGTGGTAGCCTACAGAAAATGTTCTCACCCTTCTTATCCTGCATTAGTATACCTTTAACTAATTTGTCACTGGAGGGTACTTTAAATTGAAATTTTATCAAAATTTTCCTAGCGACAATCGTTCAGCTAATTCATTACCGGCGGGGGGATGCGATTTGAATGCAATTTTGTAAAAAATACATTTGTGTATTACATGCCTGCAGCTAATTCCTTACTGAAAAGTGCAATTAAAATTAACTTTTGTAAAAAATCGCTTTTTGTGTTAAGTAGAGTAGCGAACAAAAAATTGGTCCATCCTTCTATCAATACATGCCTTAAGCTAATTCTGTATTGAAGAGCCTTAAGAAAATTCTACCCTTCCATCCTTGCCTTTAACTAATTGCTTATTGGAGGGGACAATTACATTGAAATATTATAAACATTTTCCCAGTGTCCACCCTTCAACTAATGAATCGTCGGTTGAATAAAACGTTATTAAGAGACACTTTTTAGCGCATTTCCACAAAAATAAAAAAAAAATGCGCTATTGTGGCCACTTTGTCCGTCCGTCCGTCCGTCCGTCCGTCCGTCCGTCCGCTAACTTTGCGACGCTACTAGTTTTTTATCTTAAGAGCTATTGTTCTACTTTTTCGCTATTTGGTTCGTTATGGTGTCGAGTCTTGTACCAAGGAAGGAATTTTTTCTGTACCGCTTACAAAAAAAGTTATTGTAAAAAAAACAAAAAAACCGTTTTTTTACATGTTCTATAATTTTACACTTTTGCCGTTTATTAACGATCCTAGAGATCGTTTATAATTTTGCATTGCTATCTGTCGCCTGCCGGTTGGTCTCTCCGTCTGTTCCTTTATCTGTCTGTCCATCGTGTGAACGATAACTTTGTTTAGAAATGTTCGATCGCTTTTACATTTCCGTTAGTTATGAACTGAATTGCATGAAATTCAATATGGGCATAGATTTAGCCATATAATACGCAATGCCAAAAGTTGGATCGAATCGATTCAAAATTCACAGTGCCCTTTTCGCATGTCGACCATTTATAAACCGAATTGCAAACTTTTTTACTTATAAAAGTATTTGAATGAAATTTGATACATAGGCACTTGGAATAAAGGAAAATCAAACGCCAATTTTAAAATTTGGTTTTGCGCATGCGCAGTGCCAACTTTTTTATTTATGGAAGAATTTAAACGAAATTTGATACATAAGCACTTCGAATAAAGGAAAATCAAACGCCAATTCCAAAATTTGGTTTTGCGCATGCGCAGTGCCAACTTTTTTATTTATGGAAGAATTTAAACGAAATTTGATACATAAGCACTTCGAATAAAGGAAAATCAAACGCCAATTTCAAAAATTTGGTTTTGCGCATGCGCAGTGCCAACTTTTTTATTTATGGAAGAATTTAAACGAAATTTGATACATAGGCACTTGGGATAAAGGAAAATCAACCGCCAATTTCAAAATTTGGTTTTGCGCATGCGCAGTGCCAACTTTTTTATTTATGGAAGAATTTAAACGAAATTTGATACATAAGCACTTCGAATAAAGGAAAAATCAAACGCCAATTTCAAAATTTGGTTTTGCGCATGCGCAGTGCCAACTTTTTTATTTATGGAAGAATTTTAACGAAATTTGATACATAGGCACTTGGGATAAAGGAAAATCAAACGCCAATTTCAAAATTTGGTTTTGCGCATGCGCAGTGCCAACTTTTTTATTTATGAAAGAATTTAAACGAAATTTGATACATAGGCACTTGGGATAAAGGAAAATCAAACGCCAATTTCAAAATTTGGTTTTGCGCATGCGCCGTGCCAACTTTTTTATCTATGGAACTATTTAAGTGAAATTTGATACTTAGGCGCTTGGAACAAAGGAAAATCTTAGTTTATTAGTTAGTTATAGTAAATTAGTTTTAAAATTTAGGTTTGCGCATGCGCAGTCCCAACTTTCTTATTTAGAAAAGCATTGAAATGAAATTCTTCTCATAAACTGAAATTGAAGTAGCACGTCAACAATGGATTGCCCATGTACAACGCTATCTTTCATATTTGTGGGCGGATTTTTACGATTTTAACAGAAGTTGCATCTTACAAATGGGAAATGAATGCAAGTGGAAATGCGCTTTATGTAAATCGTTTACGATTACTTTTTAACTTGTTGTATATTGGGTTGCGTACACAAACTATTTCGGTCATCCGTTCTTCTATCAATACATGATAGCTTCAGCTAATTCTGTACGAGAGGGTGTAATTAAAATTAAATTGTGTTTTTGTGTATTGCGTGCAATACACAAACTTTTGAACCCGCCCGTCTTTGTATCAATACATACTTTCAGCTAATTCGATAATGGAGGGTGCAATTCAAAAATTAAACTTTGTAAAAAAAACACCTGTATATTAAGCAGTCTACCAAGAATACGTGGAGCATTCTTCGCAAAAAATAGATGCATTGAACACATTCTTTGCCGTAGGGTGTAATTTGGTAAAATGTGGCTTAAGTGCCATACAAAAAACTTTTCCACCCGTTGGTTCTTCTAATTATTTACTGGAGGGTGGAAATGAGACGCTGTCCAAGTTTACTAAATTTTGTTTCAAATCCACGGGTCGCTTAATAGTCTAGTCAGTAGGGATTTTTGCCCAACAAAAGGTGGTGTAGTAGTCATTTTTTAATGTGTTTTTAAGCCTAGGCCTTGAAACAAAAACCATGTTTTAAACCTTGGGGGAGGACCGATCGCGCCGTTATCTCGACTGAAAGGTACAAAAAATCGTTGCATTTTCACTTGTCTTACCTCAAAACTCCTCAGTGGAAGCTGTTCTCTTTAAAAAATTTTTTTGAGCTCCTCATAGTGAGAAGGTGGTATAAGGTGTGTCGTGTCCTGTCAAGGGCTTATCACTAACATACTACCGAGCCACTAGAAGCGCAATTTGTTTTTACAAAACTTAAATTAGTTTGGTATAAGGTTGTCGTTCCTTCAAGGGCTTATCACTAACATACTACCGGCCACTAAAGCGCAATTTGTTTTTACAAAAAAATTAGTTTCCTAATGGCCGTTTGCATCGACAACTTTAAGCGGAGCTTAGCCTATGCGTAGCTTAAAATCCATTGCAAGGATTATTGAGACAATGGTTGCCATGGTTTTTAAGCTACTCTTAAGCTAAGCTCCGCTTAAATTTGGCGGTGCAAACGGCCATTAGTGATAAACTGATAATGATATATTTTTTCCAAGAAAATCTAAAAAAAACTTAAAATTTCTACTTTTGCACCCTCCGTAACTTTGGAACGGTTCACTTTAGCAAGATTATACAGCGTGTTGCATCGACATGCGGGACATAGGAAATCCCATGTAAATTTAAAGGGGGTTAATTATTGGCTTCCCTAATCATTTTAGAGGAAACATTTATTTAGGTTATTTGAAGAGCATTAAAAGACGCACCTAAAAGAATGTTTTTGATAACCCCTTAACGAGATATTGCCTAAAATATTTTGTAATGTCTGATACTGGTCATTTGACAGTCAACCTTTACTTCAATTGTTCCCTGTAAATAAGGGACGATAAGAAAGGCGAAATTACAAAATATTTTTGGCAATATCTCGTTAAGGGGTTAATCAAAAACATCGAAAGTTATTCTTTTAGATGCCCATTCAAATACTAGTGTTAACCGAAAGCAACGTTGCCTGATTGTAGACAATAAATGAATTATTAATGAGCTCCTAAGCGAGTTCATGATTTTGGACTTTCTGTCCGTCCGTGTGTGTACATGATAATTCGCGAACGGTTTAA